GAATAGAATGATTTGTTCTAATGGTGTTTGTAAATAGGATCCCAAGTCCACAACTTGTACAGCAATTAACCACTAAGAAGAATGTATGCAGTGTGTTAATTATTGAAACTGTCCTAGCGATTTGATTTGAAACTGTCTCATTGCTATTTGTTTATCAATAAAATTATGAAAAACAAACAAAAAAAAAAACCAAAGGGAAGCCAGTTCTTGTTCAGTATCCTTATTTTTAGAAAAAGCACATGATCAGTGCAATAGTTTCACTGTGAAAAGTTGCAATATTTACGTAATTTGCCCGTTAAATGTTTCAGAATTCTGTTGAAATTTCTTAACCCAGCTGTTGTTAACATTTTACAATTTTTTAAATTTGAATATCTTACTATTCAAAGGTAATTTTCTTTTCGAATCAAGTCAAATTTCTAATTACCCATATTAAAGTTTTTAATATTAAGATATGTTCAATGTTTAGAACTACTAAATAATAATTCATGATGTTAAATTTTGACAGAGCTATTAGGCCGAAAATAATTTAGTATATAAGGTTGTATACTCTTGGAATTTCATTGAAATTGTAGCCATTCTGTAATTCTGTGTCTATTAGCACATGCTCCTGTTAATCTAAAATATACAGAGTTTTTTACACAGAGGTTTTAAAAAATTATCTATTTCATAGATTTACCTCTTGAAATTAACAATCATTCTACTTAAATATTTTAATAGTTACTTTAAAACATTTGTGTCAATTTCAAGGTATTTGCTTACAAAAATATTTTACAAGCAAGCAATTTCTACATGCCATCAATTTCCCTAACACACAGGATCATTTTCTGTCCCAGCCTATAACTTTTTCCTCCAAAGTCGCTAGAAAACTGAGTTTATACAGTGCTCAACTTCTCATTTTGACTGTTTAAATTTTACTCTATCATTTTTCATACAGATTCAGAAAACCCTTCTACCACCATCACTGCACTACTGGCTTCCTTGAACAGCTGCTGCAACCCCTGGATATACATGTTTTTCAGTGGCCATCTCCTGCAAGACTGTGTCAAAAGCTTCCCATGCTGCCAAACCATGAAGCAAAAATTCCACAAAGAAGATACTGACAGTATGAGCAGAAGACACACTTCTTACTCCAACAACCGAAGCCCAACAAACAGCACAGGTACATGGAAGGACTCACCTAAATCTTCCAAATCCATCAGATTCATTCCTGTTTCTACCTGACTTCGGGTTCATGCAGCCTGACTCTCATAACTGACTTTTTGGTCCATTAGTTAATCCAACCAGAAATTCTGAGAACAAACGAACTAGGTGAGATAAACGTGATTCAGCTCATTTTGTACAAGACTTTGCTTCTAGTTGGATTTTCCGCATTGCTAAACCCAAGCAGTGTGATTATTTTATACAGAATGTTAATGAAAACACACTACACTAAGATGTGGAGGCTTGATTCCCAGAAGTATAACATGAGTTATGTTTCAAAAGGAAAAAATCATAACCACCTGGCTTTACATTTTGTTGGTTTAGTTTTGTTACTGACATAAGTCAAGCCTGACTGCTTTCTGAACAAAGGGAGCTCATCATTCAGAAAAGGCTTCAGAATAACCATGTTTTCTTTCAATAAAATCAGTATGTGTATCAGAACGTGAAGCTCCAAGTGGTAACCTAGAGAACAGCACTTTGGAGGGCTCTGAGCTGGTGCTCAGAGCAAGGTGGGGCCAGTTTGAAGTGAAAAAAGTAAGTTCTATTACAAGCAATAAGTCACCCTGAATTTCAAAATGACAACTAGCAGTACCCTCTTTTAGTTTCCTCATAATGTATGTGCTCTGAAATGTAGACAGGCCAAGAATATGTTTTTCCTCAAATGGAAAGATGGCTTTAGATCAGAGTTGAGGAATGCCAAATTTTATAGAAAAGTAGGACAAGAGTACATAAGGTAGTCTGAAGACTTGTTTGGGGTACTATAAGTGTATTTTATTTTGTTATAAGATGACCTGTGTGATGCTGGATATTAACACGATAGTTCTTTTCATGTTGCATGAATTCAGCCTTACAGATGAGAGTCTTCTTGATGGTGACTCGAGATACAAAATTCCCACTTCTATGTTTAGTTGGGAGAGCCTTTCAATCTCCCATCCACCTAACAGAATAGAGAAGAACAGGGGCAAAGGGCAAGGGCAGGAAAGTGTGACAGAGAATAGCTCTAAATCTAGTCTGAGTTCCACCAATACTAAATATATCACTTTGGACAAGCTACACATGAAATCACATAAAGCCTGTTTCCGTGGCTGTATAATGGAGTTAGTAACACCCACCTCACAGGGTTGTTGTGAGGACTGAATGAAATTAAATGTGTGGAAAGAAATTTGTGAGCTGTAAAATGGTGTATATGTATGCTAATAGTTGCTTTTACTATATTATTGGGATCTCCAGAATTGAACAGTTTTTTTCTCACTTATTTTTCATTAATCAAAAGCAGTTGAATTCATGTCTGTAATATAAAATCCTGAAATTTAAATATAGATCTGCTGAATCATTGGAAAGCATTGCCAGTAGCCATTTGGCCTGACTTGTCTCACCTAACTAAAGTTTTCCAGTAGACAGAATTTGCTTTTCTTTCAGTGCAGGTAGACCAAAGCCAACTGAGAACATCAATTGCTTTCATTTCTAAACAGAGATAAATTATAGCACTCCCAGAAATTGATGCATTTTTGTTGTTGTTGTTGTTGTTGTTGTTAATGGAACCTGTTGGGTTTTGTCTAGTTATTTTGTCTGGCTCCTTCTTAGAAATCATGCCACAATTTGAGAATACATATTTTGAGTCTCTTAGAGGAAGGAATAGCTACTTTTAGTAGTAGTACAGGGTCTGTTTTTAAACTTTGTAGATAAGAAGCTGTGGACTGAATGATGCTGCAATAAACTGGAATCTTCAGCTTCACTCCTCTTCATTCTCTTGCCTTTCCAAGGTCTCAGCCCTTAAACTCCCTAGGTATACTTTAAAAAGTATACCCAAGTGTTCTGTAAAAAAATAACCCCTTAGATCTTAGAATTCCTCTTTTTAAAAATAACATTGGACAGACAATATAGCTCAGGGATGAGCATGTGCCTAGAATCCTTGAGGCCCTCGCTTCAATGCCCAGTATACAAAACAAACAAATCACATTAAGTGAAAAGCACAAGCAAAGTTCTCACAGGGCAGCATTCAATGTAAGTCACCCAGTAAATGAATCACTTCCTCATGTGAGTTAGCGTAGCAGAGCTGCACACAGCCTAAAGACTTTGTATTGGAACAAGAGGAGCCCATTTTGTTCTAAATCCATTTGCAGCTGTTTCAAAAAATTGGCAAGTATCCCCAAGGAAATAAATTCCACTTTCCCTTATTTCTGGGAACATCTCTCAAATGAAATTTACATCAAACTCCCCACCTGTCTTTTCCTCTTTTAGAAGCAAGAACAGAGAAGAGAGTAAGAAATGGACTGGCAGACACAGAAAAGTCTAGGTTATGTTGTCACAGCAGTCAAATGGGGCCTTGTCCTCTGGGAGGTTAAGGGAGAAATTTAGTCTATCTACTGCTAAACCCTCTTAATGGTATAGATCCCCAAATGGCATTCATGTAACTCTAATCTGCACCCCAAATTGGAAGAGTCCTGCTTATTTCAAGACATCAAAACTGTAGGCATGGGGCCAGGAGATGGCTCAGTGGAGTAAGTGCTTCCCTGGCAAGAGCAAGGACCTGAGTTCAATCCCCAGTTCCGGGAAAAAAAAAAAAAACTGTAGGCAATGAGGAGAACATGTGCTGTGAAGAAAAGTTTCTCTTTTCTTGAACCAAGAGAAGACCTGAGTTATGCCAAAGGACAGCTCACAGTCAAGAGTGAATGTGTTGTACAATCTTATTTTTTTAATAAGGTTATTGGTAGGAAAATCCTCCAACTACACAATGCTACTGTATTCATATCAGAAATGTGATTGATTAAAAGAAAACACCAGTAAGGAGAAATGGGTCTGCTGGATATTTGATAAATATTAATTGGTAATGAAAAAGAAACATTTTAAAGTACAGATAGCACATTTGGGGGAAGTAACTTATGAGGCATTTATTTTTTAAAATTTTGATACATTTAGTAAGATTAGCATAATTCTAAAATCTAAGCCATACAAGAATAGTCCTAACAGAGAACCGTAAGGTAAACATCATTTATAGCCCGATGAAGTGACATAAACGTGTAATTCCAGCACTCTGGGAGACTGAGGCAGGAGAATCTCGTTTGACCCCATCCTGGGTAACTCAGTGACTTAGTGAGACTCCCTGTCTCTCAATAACTACATAAATAAATAAGAAGTAAATGAAAGGGTTGAGGATAAAGCTTAGTGAGAAGGTCCCGAGTTCAATTTTCAGTATCACAAGAATAAGGGAGTGAACTATTTCTTCTGAAAGGAGCAGTTAATGCTTAAGTTTTCTACTCTCTCCTCTTTAATTTTTAAAAATTTTTGACCAGTTTTCCATGCTTGTATCTGGTGATCTGAACAACTAATCTGAAGACGATAGTATGCAATATAACAGCCATTGTTTAATTCCTACCATTTTGTTTAATGAAATTCCATATCATGAGGCATTGATTTTTAAAGCATGAAACTATTTTGCTCTCTGTTTTTAGAGTTCACTTGGAACAAAAGTGCAAAGGAAATTAGTCAAATTATTGAGTCAATCAAAATGTATGTACTTTATGGCGAAGAAGACAGTGTTGGCTTAATGAATTCTTGAGGTGAACTGATTACATATCAAATGAGTTCAAAATATCACAGGAATGGTCTTGACATCTTTCAGATAGAACAAGTAGGGAACAGATGAATATTTACACATGCAGCAAAATACATTGAAAGTCTTCTATGGATATTAACCCTTTGTATTGTCTTTGCATCTCTGGCCTGTGATTGCTCTTCTTTTTTGAAGATCATAGTGGCAGCTCCCTACAGAAGTACGGAAGCAACATGGCTGCCTGCATGGTTTTCTTGGAGTTACTGAAGATGTGTATTTCTTTGATAGACACAACAACCTATCTGCTATTTTGAGAATATTCCGAGAATCATTGGTGAGGGGATGGGATATTAATTCTGGAAGCACTTTTGAAGAACCTTCTGTTTATCAAATACTATGTAATTCTAATAAATAAAAAGCTAAAATGAAAAAAAAACAAATTATTGAGTCATTTATACACTAGTCAATTCTACATAGAAATGTAGGAGCTCCAGTGACACAATCAGCATGCAGTGCTTATACTACATAGAAAATTAGCATCACCTTCAAGAAAGGCTTAAAACATGATTCAGGGAAAGGTGATATTTTAAAGAAAACAGAAACTCAGTTGCCTTTACAGCATGCAGTACTCTCTTGCATTTATTCACAGTTCCTAGAATGAACAGCCACTGATGATTAGAAATACAACTTTCACCTGTTACTGCACATGTAAAGTAATCCAGCTAGGTTAAAGCTTCATGTTTTCAGACCCTAAGACATGTAATTTTGTATCTTATTAGAACCCAGACCCTTTTATCACAGCCCCACATCTTGAGTCTCCCTGAAACAATTAGATGTCATCTAGGACAAAAATGAGCCTTATCCTTCACTCTAAATAGCAGAGAATAGGTTCCTATGAACTGTCTTAATTTGGGGCATTGTGGGTTATCATACAGGAGGCAAAATCTGTGATCAGAATAAACCTAGGGCAAGTCATCAGTGGGGCACCTTGGGAATGCAGAAGGGGCCACTGTATCCTAGCCCTTCCCCTCCACATGGCCCTGTCAGGGCCATCCGTATTGCACTTGGAACCATGGGGAAGAGAGGACATAAACATTACATAATAATGCCTGATTAGAATTTGATGTTCACCAATTTGAGTGAAAATTTGAAGACTGTTTAGATGCTAGGTAGTTTCCAACATAACCTAAATGCATTGAATCACAAATTGTGCCTCTATTCTATACACAGGCCTTTAGAGCATAATGCTCCAATACAGTCTTTAAGAACATTAAATTATGAGGAATGAAAATATATTTGTGGCCTTTAGTACACTACCATCAAAAATTATTTTACTATAGCTAAAAATTAAATGCCACTGTTTTTTTTTTAAATTTTTTTTTTTATGAGAGAGAGAGAGAGAGAGAGAGAGAGAGAGAGAGAGAGAGAGAGAGAGAGTGTGGTGTGTGTGTGTGGCCAGCTCAGCCCACCAGGGGGCGAGGCTGGCTGGCATGTGGTGCTGGGGGATTGAACCGCGGTCCCCGATGCCTTGCCAAGCTTGTTCCAAGTAGGTGCTCTAGACCACTGAGCCATCTCTCCAGCCCCAATGCCATTGTTTTTGCATTGCTGTTTTGGCTTGGGTTTCGTTGGGGGTTTTGATGCTGTTGTTTTTAGCTAGTGGTAGGAATGGAACCTACCACTGAACTACATTGCTAGCCCCCTTTTTACATTCATACAAATATTTTTTTCTGTTGATTTATGTTCTAAATAAAATGAAATTAAATATTTTGTTTAAACTAAATATTTTTTTTTCCAGGATCAAATGAACAGATTCAGAAAAAGAAATTTAAGAATAAATCTGATCATATCAAATTATTATCTTTACACACACAAAGGTAGTTGTTCCTTCATCACAAGATTTCTGACTTATAAATATTATCTGATGCTTTAACTCATTAGTGTAATAAACTTACTAGGAGTTGATGTTGTGTATTTACTATTCCATTTGTGAAAATGTCTCAGATGTCCCATGTCCTCCACCTTACTATGCTATGTAAAAGAATTTCAGTGTGTTTTCTCTTGGTTTATTAGATGACTCCAATTTTGAACAGATGTTAAAGCGTTTTGTGATTGTATTCAATATTTAGTTCATTAATAAAAAAATGCTTTGTAGTATTATGTTGAAGTAACTGAAGTATTATTCCTCAATTTCACTGTGTGTTGGTATGTTTCTGCAAATAAAAATAAATTTCAGATTTGCTTGAAATAATTCTTACAACTTAGTATAATAATGAAATGCATTTTAAGACAATTATGCTGATTTTGAGAAAGCAAAGCCTTTTTTAACAGTTGGTAACTAATAATGGTTTTATATTTAAGAATAAAAATGGCTGTGTTATTGCTATATGACTTTAGCAAGTATAAGTGAAACTTTGTAATTACCTTTTCAATGAACTATAACAGAGAAAATAAGTCAATTTGTTATGGTCTGTAAGACACCCCAAATAATCAGAGTTAACTAAGACTATGTGTTATTCAGCCCTTAAAATGTCATCTATATTAATTTATTTCTAGACATTAGTTATATTGACTCTGACCCTAAGGATCAAGAATATTTCTTTTCTATGGTCTTTAAAATTAGAATTCTTTTCCCTGTGGGCTAATAAATTCAAAACTTACTTTCAACTTGTGTTCTTTATTTTCTTTGATTTTTAAGTTGAATCCTAAAAGCATAAACTAAAAGCTAATTTGGGGTTTGGTCTAACCTCTAAAAGTGGTGAATGTCCAGAATTGTATGACAGGAAAATTGAAGCCTCTATTTTAAAATGCCACTGTTATTTTTAAAGACTTATTATTAATGCCTTTTTTTAAAAAAAGCAGGATGTCTATAATGCATATTTTCATAAAATCCTACTAATGAGGCAAAACTGAAATACTATGCTTTAAAGAGACTCCAAACAATGTGCTAGTATAGTTTATTCTTCACTATTTTCTATCTTTAACCTTCCTAATATTTAGAGTTATATATTTTGTTTTGCTTTGTTTTTACTTTTCTGTATTTCAGTTGCCTTTGAGACATTTTCACTGTGACACACAATACAAATGTTTCCCTTTGTTGGTTCATTGGTCTTCTAAAATGATCACACTATGTCTATCTTAAAAATAGGAACTGTGGAGACCTAGAACCCAGGCCTTGCAAGTGA